GTCCATTAATGAGGTACCCTTTTTCCAACAAAAAAGAATCATCAAAATCGGTTGACAAATCGGAGTTACCGCGTAATATATATACAAGAAAATACAGACGAATTGAGAACCAAAAGACTGAAGTCGGCTAACAATACCGATGAAAAAGACGATTTTGCACTGGAGCACACAACTCGGTAACTTACCATGAACTAGTACTAGAGGACTAGTCGTCAAAGGCACTCCTTATCATGACTAACGTAATCGACATTTTTAGCGAGATTGAATTATGTAACATATATCAGCGAAACGAAATCTACCACCCCATATAAACGGTTTTTTATTTAGTTTCAGTTTTATTTTTAAATAAAAGTCAGTGTAATTGACATTTTTTAAATTAAAATAAAATTTTATATTTTTTTAAGTTATTACAATACAGACTGAAGTAAATAATTTTACAGTATGTATAGGTACAACAAACATGTATAGGTACAAAGTTATTACTAATTAATAAATGTTAACATCTAGTGAACAATATTTAATAATATCCAAAATCCATTTTACATCTGTTTGTTTCTTTTTTATTATGTCAAATGACTAGATGAACAAGTCGTGCGCCTGATAGTAAGCTACACTCCTGTCCATAACAGTTGCAGTGCCACTCACTCAGAGCTTTAAATCTCAAAGATCTGAGAGGCACTGCCACTACGCCCGGCACCCCGAGACATAAGTTGACAAGTCCCATGTGGCTGTAATTTCACCAGCTCCCTGACCCTTCAAAATCGGTTATGCTGACATTACAGCTTGGTGGCAGAAGTAGGTAAGGTGGCAGTACTACCCTGGGCAAACTCTTTCACAAGGAGGTCTACTGCTACTAAGTGTGAATAGATATTGACAATAATACCAGCAACAACCACGACGTCAGGTGCCAATATTTCCAAAGTTACCAAAATGCGAATGCGTTAGTTATGACAAGGAGGGCAGAGTGCATGGTATTAACAGATCCAGAAGCAAGTGGTAACGGTTTATTTCTAGAAACAAACACAAGTATACCAATAATTTTAAAGAGAAACATTTGCAAAAAGTCTGCTTTGCATCGTCTCTTCGAAAATATATTCAGTACACATCCAATATAAAAATGTTTTCAACAGACGCAATTTACAACAAAGAACGTGTATAATACCTAATTAAATTAAATAATCGATTGTAAACATCGATTCTTGTATATCGATGAGGCAAGTATCGGATCGGGATGCGCGGACGCATCCCAGGTGTTCGCTGACAGGGAAAATAAACTTTTCGTAATCGATTCACGGTTTTAGAGCCAACAGTTGTTCGGATATTTGTGATGCTAAGTGTATGTAACCAAATGCGGTTAGATTTCTTTGGATCTATTTTTGAAATTGTTTAAAAGCTTGGATTAACAAATGATTTGTGTATCTATGATTCTAATTATAGGAAAATTATGTATAACGGAAATGCAACATAGAATTTAATAGGCTCTACATAATGTATGTACTGTAGCGCAGGCTGGATAGATTATATGTATTATTATTTTATCTTTAGAACTGTCTAAAAAGTAAGAAGGTGGTTTTGTATTTAGAACTAGATAAAAAAAGAGAATTGTTGTCAAAGGTAAATCGCGGTGGTTCTGGACGAATCTTCTAGCTGAACGCTCACAGTAAATCTTTAATTATGATTATATTCCTAGTTTAAATATTAAATAATACCTCTCACAGCGCTACAACCACGACTACGCTCCCACAGTATCTAGGCATATGCAGGTCCACGTTACACACATTCAAAATAATAATAAACAGTGATTGTAATGAATATATATATGATGTTTTACTAACATAATAATAATTCACTTTTCGTGAAAATTATTCACGTTTGTTTTTTATTTGTTATAATTATTAATACAAAGATCGAACACATAGGAACACATACCAGAGTGACACAGGATGCAGGTTCGAATCCAGTCAGATCGAAAGAACTTTTTTGTATTAATAATTATAATAATAAACATTTAACGTTTTATAACCTCGTAAATAAAACTTTTTTTTGGACGTTGTAGCGTATATATATTTTTTTCGAATACATTTCGGACCCATGGTCACGGTTGACTGCGATGTTAATATTACTTTGTTTCAGAAAAAAACCATTGTTTCTTAGTAACACTTAGTAACTATTTTAGCACTTATTTAAATTTCATTTCATTAAAATTGCACCCAAAATGACTTCATTTTATAATATCAAGTGACGGGACGAACAAGTCGTGCATCTGATGGTAAGCTACACGCCTGTCACAAACAGTAACAGTTGCAGTGCCACTCAGTGCTTTAAATCGCAAAGATCTGAGGCGCAACCCATCACCCTGAGACTTAAGTTAACAAGTTCCATGTGCCTGTAATTTCACAAGCACCCTTCAAAACCGGAATGCTGTAATGCTGACATTACCGCTTGGCGACAGAAATAGATGACGTGGCAGTAATTCCTTGGACGAACTCATTCATAAGGAGCCCTACTGTATTGAATTAACCCTATTGGCCCTTTTTATCAGGTACCACAGCAAGGGATTATCAAATCGGTTCACGAACGCTACCAACAAGCTGTTCTACCGCTACCGTGCACAAGGTGATGAAAAGAAGCGGCTTTCTTTCGCATTAAGCGGAAAACCTTCAGTGCGCGCCTCCTAATACAACTAAACTGAACTAAATTTACAAAAAATATTAATTATATTTAATTTACCAACGTACACTTACAATAACCAACTATACTTATGGTATGGTTACTTTTGGTATGGGGCGGTTGGTTTGTTAAGAAATAGATTACAAGTTTTTGAGAGTTTTTATTGAAAGTCACGATATTTCACCTTGATATTCAATTATTTTTGTGAAATTACTCCACTAGGTTGCTATAGTTATATATCAAATTAAATTTCGCATTCTGTGAAAGTCAGAGGTGCGAGCCCGGATTCGAACCTACGACCTTCTGCTTGAGAGGCAGTAGGTCAAACCATTAGGCTACCACGGCTATAATAAATAAACATTATTATGGTATTATTACATTTACTATGGGCCACAGCAACAGCAATATAAACTGTCAAAATTCTTCAGTAAAAGTAGTAACTTACATAACGTTCAATACTTAGAATAGTTCAATATATAAATATCTGTTGTTTTGGGTCACGTAAAAATATTTGATAAAGGAAAAATATTTTTCGGAAAAAAAATATTTTTCGGATTTAAATCGCGTCTCGATTTCCAATTGTAACAATCGTGAAAACCGAACTCGATAAAAAATGATGACTGATGATGGCTCGTTATCTTGGTCTAACGTAACTGCTGGTGTGCCTCAAGGCGGCGTATTTTCTCCCTTACTCTTTTACATTTTTATTAATAATATTGCCCGTCTAATTTCTTCTCCGTTCCATCTGTATGCTGACGATCTTCAACTCTATTGTAACTTTGAGGTGGGTGAGGTATCTCAGACTGTAGTGGCTCTCAATTTCGATTGTCATTTGGTCCCCTGGTTAATCCCGTTAAGTCTCAAGCCATGATTGTAGGTAGTAGCAGATTAAGGTGCAAGGATGGGTCCTCGGTACCTGCGTTGGTATATGATGGAACTACCATTGCATATACTGACAAAGTAAAAAATTTGGGGTTAGTAATGGACAGCACTTTATCTTGGACTTCTCGTGTCAATGAGGTCAGTAGACGAATGCACTACTCATTCCATTCTCTCCAACGATTCCAATACTTTCTCCCTTTTCATACCAAAATTATGCTTGCGCAAACCCTTCTTCTTCCCATACTCGACTATGCAGACGTTTGTTACTTGGATTTAATCGGAGAGTTTCTGAACAAACTAGAGCGCCTACAAAACCTAGCTATCCGATTTATTTTTGGATAGCGTAAACATGATCATGTCTCCGAATTTCGCGCTCGGTTAAAATGGCTGCCAGTTCGCTTCCGCCGTGATATGCATATCCTGTCTACACTTTTTAATATACTTAATGACCATAACTCCCCCTACTACCTTCGTTCCCGGTTTAAGCTGCTGCCTTCTCCCTGAGATGCTCGTTCGTCCCAGCTGCAATACAAATTTCTTTTTTAACTCTTTTTCTTCTCGAGCAGCGCCAATCTAGTCCGTCGATCGCTTCCTACGAGAAAAGGTTGATAGTGCACTTTCTTGCGGAACTATCTACGTAATCATCTTATATGTATATATGTACTATATATATATATATATATATATATATATATATATATTGGCTGGAAGAGATCTCTTTTAAAGATAAGTCCACCTATATGGATAGTTAATTGAGTATAACACCTAGATATGTAACTAGTAACTTTGTATATCTACTATCTAGTAAATATACATACCAGATAGCACGTAGGTATACATGTACTATACATTATTATTGATTTAATTTAATTCAAGTAAGTGAAATGTTGCCCTCTCTATGTACATTGCTGTGCCCAACAGGGTCCCAAAGCTCTAATTTAAGCGTGTCCACCTGCTACAAATGTAAACTTTTGGGAATGCAATAAAGAATTGAGTATTGAGTATTTTATATCTTGCATGAAAAGTCCTATTGTAGAGATATTTTCTTGCATGAAGGCGCAAATTATTTAATACCTCATTAAAACTAGAATTGTTTAGCTTAAAAGACTAATATGTTGTAAGCTCATTACAATATCGAATAACAGTTTAACATTTGACATTTTGCAACGAGCAAGCCACCCTACTATTCCACGAACGTATTGACGAACGATGTTGACCTGCAATAAAATTAAATTCAACTCGCGAAGTCATAAAAGACGTATAGACCCTTGTTTATTGTAAACAACTGTTTTGTTTATAATATCAGTCAATGTTCGTTACTCCATAAGGGCGCTCACTCCGCCCAGCACATACAGACCAATCAGAGCGCTAGATTTCAAATGACACGCCTACAGGCTGCGCCGGAGTCGACAAAACGCGTGTACGTCGTCAGTTTTTCAGAAACACCCGCGACGATAACACCTTTGGATTTTTGTGCTGTGAAAATAATGACGTCTTTAAGTGATAATAATAAATTAAAGTTTAGTGTGGAGAGTATATTAGGTACAAATAACGAAAGTTCATCAAAAAACGAGCCTAGTGGCCAGGCGGTTAGGGCTCAGGATCCACCGTGTGCAGGGTGTGTGGCAGCGCTTTACCGGTGCTGCAGGGACGAACCTTCGCCGCTATTGCAGATGCCTTTAGCTCTACCATATGCTCATTTACATCCGGCTTTAAGACCCACAACTGGTGAGTGATATCATAAGCATTTGAGTACTCTAGTTAATTTTGGTAAAGCAGTCTAGGATCATGTGTTGGTTGCTTTTGAAGAAGACTGTGTTGTGATACATCCGACTGGAAAAGGACATGGAGACCCACAGCGAACAAGAATACTTTTTTAAATATTCTATAGATATTTTGTATCAATAATATTTGTAGATAATTAAAATTCTTGTGTTCCGTTAAAAGGTGCGCAAATGTTCTGAATATTTAGATATAGAGCTGCGAAAATTTGATACTTGTTCAGTAAGGATGTCCATGCACTTTCGATGTCGATAACATCATGATGGCAACAAATTTTATAAAATATACAATAGTTATTTGTTATGCAAGGCTGCAAAGTTGTTGTTTGCCGCGATTGCTCGTATTCAACGTGCTGTTATCTTTTTTATCGAAAGAAAAAGTTAGGTGCACCACAGTCCATCATCAAGTTCGAATCCCAAAAATATTTTCCACTCTAGCGTGCAAAAAACGCTTTTGCGCGCAGATTTCTAATGAGAAAGAAAGCCTTTCCGAGCCAGTGAGGTGAAAAATATTTTTGAGTTGCCTTATTAAGCATTTAGTTTATGGGCTCTGCTTTGAATGTTATCATTTAATAAGATTGACCTCGGTTTTAAGTTTATACGTGGGGCTTTTGTTAGTAAACAGGAATATTTATAAAATAATTACATTATTATACACGAGGCCGCGAAATTACAAAAGTAATCCTAGCGGATCTTTTATTCGAGGAAAATATTTAGGTTAATGCGTGGATCGAAGATACTACTACTAAGTACTTCTTATTTTATGAACTTTATTCTTTTTTAGCCGAGAATGTAATATAACGAATAATGTGACGAAATTAAAGAATTTACCAAGAAGATGAATTATTTAACTATATAGGTTCATACAAAAGACATCAACGGCGTTAATCTAAAATTTAAAATTGTCGTTGTTGTCTTTTGTATGAAACATTAGAATTACAAACTAGGAAATAATATTTTTTGAGTTTCTAGGTGTATTCGTATTCAATAACTAAATTTCGACCTATTTCGACAAATCTGAATTTAAACGCTCACAAAGCACCTGGCGTACTTTAATTTTGATTTATCGTTGACTAAGGTAGTTAGGTACTTCGCTGCTGTCTTGCTAACTTCCACAAACTCATTTAATTCAACATCTATTGCACTAATCATGTTTCGACACAAGCTATCTACCATCTCTATCAGACACGTCGGTTTAGGCAACAAATATTCGCCAAAGCCCTTCCAGTATTTCCGCCTTCCACCATACAAAACACGTATCGCGGTTGTGGGACGAGACTGTCCCACAGATGCACGAAAGGAGCCTTGCCATACGACGTACTTTTGTTATACCGTACGTCTGGCGCATCCTGGCCAACAATCAGCGCGTACTTTACGTCTATTGGCAAATCCTTTCACCACGTTGGCAAGCATTGTGGTCTAAGCCATCGATGATACGATAAGAAGAAGACGTCTGTGCGACACGGAGGTAAAGTACTTCCAATACAGTAAATAATACTGCATTAAAAAAATATTTAACGGTTGCTTGCCTCACCTGGGAATCGTACGGACCAAATGTGCAAATATTTTGTTTTTATGTTCGAAAGGGTAAATTATAAAGATTAATTCCTTATTAGTAACATCGTATCTTAATTTAAAAGTGCGGCGCCACTGTCGTGATACGCGCGCTCTACAATTAAATTACTGAAGCGCTCCTACAAGCATCTGATTTGAAGGCGCCCTTATAACAGCGATAATAAAAGCAAAAATCGTTCGACTTTAGTTACACGTGTAGGTACAGTTGGTGTCGTGTTACAGACAAAAAAAAATAGTGACAATGGTAACGTAGTAAGAAATCCATAATGAAAAAAGGTAGACAGCTATGTCTCTCCAAGTACCGTTCAATTATACTAATTATTTTATTATAAAAAGAAACTTAAAACGCCAATGTATTTACAATGATCAAAAATCTGATGGATATTCTTGAATGCAAATTCTCAATCTTTTGATAAGTTTGCTGTTCGTAGATTGTCTTGATGTTTTTTTTAATATAATACCAAGTGAAAGGACGGGGCGTGTTTTTTTAATTTACGACACTATGCTATGTAAAAGGAATTAAACCTTATAAATAAATGACTCTTTCCGTCGGTATATAAAAATACAAAATCTTTTTTTTTCACATTTGATCAATTCAAAATCTTGAATGCAATATTACTTAATAAATGTAAAATAATGTCTCCTTGAAACACACTATACCCTATCTACAATATTTGAAGCTTCGTTACGTATCCCGTAGCCGTGGGATACCCTGTGTGTAACACGGTCGACCACGTAGATAGCGTTCTAAGGCTTCCGCCAACAAACTTTTTTATTCACGTGTCTGGTAGTAGCTGGAACGAAACTGTGCTCAAAAATACCCTGAGCAAACTCATCATTTACGTCACCTCGCTACAGACCGTGCCCAATTGTAAGCCACGTCAAGGTGGGAATCGACCACCTTCCTAAATGCTGAGGTTTATCATGCAAAGCAGCAAGTCAGCTCCTCGGGTTGTTTGATATCATAAAAAAGGCTTAACAACAATAACCTTACACCGTACGTGGCAATTATAAACACCGTGCAATAAAATTCGTCTTTTTATCAATTTTGTATTTTTTTCTCAGTTAGCTACTATTGCTCATTCTCTGCACATCCAGTGTATCGAATGCGTTTTAGTTTTTTTGGTTTAGTGTATTGTTTGCAATTTTATTGTTTTGCAATATGTCTAAATAAATGGAGTTTTTTTTTATAATATTAAGTGACGCGACGAACAAGTCGTGCGCCTGATGGTAAGCTACACTACTGTCCATAACAGTTGCAGTGTCACTCACTCAGAGCTTTAAATCGCAAAGATCTGAGGCACTGCCACTGCGTCTGTCACCTCGAGACATAAGTTGACAAGTCTTATGCGTAAGTAATTTCACCAGCACCCTTAACTCTTCAAAACCGAAACACTATAATGCTGACGTTACTTCTTGGCGGCAGAAATAGGTAAGACGGCAGTACTTCCCTCGACGAACTCTTTCACAAGGAGCTCTGCTGTTACTAGTTTATAACAACGTGTGCAGATACAGCTTCTGTATGAGTTAGAGAAATCATATGTCGAATTTTCTAAAACTGATATGTTCACTCCGATCTGTGCAATATGCTATAAAGGGATTTGTACCAGATCCATAGTTCTGTCAGTAAAAACTTTCCTTAGAGGGAATTAATACATGGAAATGATACGCTCGATAGGGTGTCCAAAATGCTGTAATAGGTAGTTAACTTTCTGGGTTAATGAGAGAGTTGCGAGCGCCTGTCTCTCCGTTTTGTTCCGTAAATAGGACTTGAAAAGTCGAACTTAAAAGCTGCCTTTTTTCCCAATACGTATCTTTTAAGCTCACGATCAAGCCTAATTAAATTAATAAATAATAAATATTAGTCACGTTTGGGATAGTTCTAATACACTAAAAAATATTCAACGTATTGAAATTGCAAATAATATGAGAAAATCTAAATAAAAAATACAGCGGATAATTGTTAATATTCTTCTTTTTCTTATGAAGTCAGCAAAAAATAAAATAAGAGTTTCTCCGCAGTTTACCAGCTCTCCCTTCCCTCATCATCACCTCCGCAGCCCCCTACGCGCTGTGACGTCACATCGAGCGGGAGAAGAAAACGTTCATGGTCACGGGCGGTATTTAGCAACCTTCAAAGAAAAGGACTTGAGCGCCGGTTCCAGATACAAAAGTACATTACAAAACCTGATAGAAGACAGTTGGCTGCTACTTTGGGACTTACTGATGCGCAAGTAGGTATTCCTAAGTATAAGTTAATCAAAAATCTATGAGTAAGAGCGTGTTTTCTGTCATTGTGACACCTTCAAAATGTCACCGTTAAAATGTGACTATCAATAACTTTGGTAGGCACAACACTATACATCTGTAACATCGTTTACTATACATATATAAATTACCGTACTTTCATGCTGGTCTCCTTTACTAAGACTGCTAGACGACTTATCATTAATTTTTCCCTTTAGAGCTGAGGCCCCCAAACTTTTAGTGTCGTAGGCCACATATATATTTTTTGTTTTAATAGGCTTCTGCTTGTCTAATATTGATGTTTTACAAAAATTCATTAACTTCAAATGTACTTGATATATATAACGCAGTGCTACTCACTTAGATTGGTGTACAGTGAGAAACGTCTAAGACATTTATTGCAATCATGTTGTAGACATGGTGTATTTTTTAAAAATCTATACCTAAACATGAACCGTGATAGGCTACCGCAACATAATAAATATTCATATTTTATCATAAAATGTTAAAAATAATCTAAAATAAAATTCAACAAACTAAATATTCACATTACATTATACGTAAAAGTAGGTACTATACAGCTAAATAATTAGCTAGTAGATTTATTTAATTTATGGAAAGCCAAAATTTGATCACGAATAAAATAGAATATATTTATTTGCCAGAATACAGTAATAATAAAGATCTTAAATAAAATTAGGTACATTGTATTCAACCTGCAAGCAGATGTACTAATATTAACTTCATGTTTGTTTTCTACTGTTAATTGCACTTCAAATTAATGTAAATTGTTATTTGGAAATTCTAAGTATTCTTTATTACTATAGAAGCAATGTGTAAAAGCCATTTTGTCAATTGTAATTTAAAAGTATGTCCTTGCAACAAACAGACCAATGGGATTCACTCTCGTGGACCCCGATTTTTTTTTCCACTGGGAGTCGATATAGACCACCTTGGGGAATCATCGCTTTGGAGTGTCCTTAATTAATTCAGATTTAATTACAAAGTTATAATGGTTTATATGTGAAGAAAGTAGAAAACAACGAATGTTTTAAAAAATACAATAACAAGTGTTACTTTCTATCAATAAATAACACACAATTTCCCTACCATTATAATTATTAATACAAAGATCGAACACTCAGAAAAAATCCCTTCGATCCGGTTGGATTCAAACCGACGTCTTCTTGCATGCCGTGCCAGACACTATACCAACTAAGCCACGGAACGAACCAACGGACCTCACGAATTTTTCTGTGTGCTTGCGTCGTGTCTTTGTTTGGTTTTTCAACGACTTTTTGGTCGTAGCGCCATCTATGAGAACTCTGTGAAAGATTTATCACCCAGTTAGTACCTTTACAGCTACCAGTCCTGGCGAGCGATGTCGCTATTCACTGTATTTTCAATTTTTATTGAATTGATATGCAACTATTTTTTGTGAAATTACTCCACTAGTTTGTTATATTATTATACTTAATATAATTAATTAACAATATAATTAATTAATTATATAATAATTAATTATTAATACAAAGATCGAACACTCAGAAAAAATTCCTTCGATCCGGTTGGATTCGAACCGACTCAGATTACAAAGGCCTGTGCCTTTGTAATTTTGTAATAATGTAGTTGATTTTAATTTAAAAGTCAATTATAATTACCGCGAAACGGAACAGTACATTTTGTAATGAAATTGTACACATCATAATGAACTTTATGTTGTGTAACGTACAAACTAGATACGATATTGTAGTTGCGGGAATTCCTGAGACAATTTTTTGGCTAGTATCCAGTTTGTACGTAACACAATTGAGATGCACTTTATGTTAATTGTGTAACGTACAAACTAGATACGATGTGGTAGTTGCGGAAAATCCTGAGACTGTATTTTGGCTAGTATCTTATTTGTAAGTAACACAATTGACATAAAGTTCAATAACCTATGGTTACAATAATCTCAGTACAGAGTACTAAAAAAAACCGATCTCAAAAGTCTAGTTTTCCACCTTTAGAGGAAGGAATACTCTCTTCAAATAAAAATGGGACCACTACTGAGGTACCCTGTTTCCAACAAAAATAATAATCAAAATCGGTTCACAAATGCCCGAGTTATCGCGTTACATAAAAAAAAATCGAAATGAGAGCGTCCTCCTTTTTATGAAGTCAGTTAAAAATTTGCTTCCATTGCGTTCCGCGGAAATGTAAATTGAACCTTAGTGTCAAGTTTGACGTGCTCTTCATTGTTCCTAACTTTTATTAAAATAATAATTATCAATTTGCAGGTTAAAGTATGGTTCCAGAACCGTCGAATGAAGTGGCGACACACAAAAGAAGGCCGAGGAGGTGGCGCAGCTGCGTCTGCCAATAGTGTTCTGCCAGGTAGAGACCCGGACTCCACGAACGACGATAATGAGGAAATCGATGTAGATACGCTTAGTGATTAGTCCGGAAAACTTTTCAGGATGTACGAAAGTCTAGTTTTTCAAATCATGAAGTTCTTGCAAAACAAGTTTCTGTTAAGAATTAACAAATGAGACATTGCGGAATTTTAAAGATGCTATCATTACCCAGATTTAAATTTCTTCCCTCTTCTGTGTGTCTAGTGACTATTTGTTTTATTCGATAAAAGATACGGGATCTTTTACCGAATAAAACAAATAGTAACTCTACCATAGTTTACAGTGTTCTAATTTTACAAAAAAGAGCTGTAAAATTGTTCACAATTCTGTATGGCAAGTTGTATAGTTCCCCTGAGAACACAAAAAATAACATATTCTTTATAAATCACTGATAACTCAATAGTACCTATAAGGCGCTCTATTGTGTTGTGAAACCAATACACTCAAGTCACAATTTGCTCTTTACATTTCACTAAAAATATTTCGTCTGTTGTCAACTCTATTCTAAAGGCAGAACTAATTTATTTGTTTTTCACTAGAAATACCTTGGAAATGAAACTATTTTAAACAGCCGTGTCCATGGGCAAACTATCACAAACTCGAATATATTTTTTCCGAAATAACGTTTGTTCGAATTTTCATTACGCCGAAAACCAAATTATAACGAAACCGTTGTTCTTTCAGGTTATGCTTGGATGTTTAAGACACGATTAGGTTAGGTTTAAAAGAAAAAAATATTTTCCTCTCAAAATTACTTTCGAGGTTATGAAAATTCGAGCAAATGTTATTTCTGGAAAATGTCATTTCGGGCTTCTGATAGGTAACCGTGTCCATGGCACCTGTAAAGGTGCCCAAAATGTGGGTTTGTTTCAAAACACAATACGCGATTATGATCTGACAAAAAAAAATTTATTTTCCATATTTTTAACAATCCCGAAAACCTAAAATCTCGATAGAAAATTAGAAATACCTAGTTTTGAAAGGTACATACATAATGACTGCAAATAATTATTTAATTTCATTGACCTATAATGGACGTCGGGTTCGCGCTAAAAGCACCTGTAGGTCGTTAAAATCGCATACAAAGCGTCAATTGCGCAACAGTCTTCGTTTGTTCGACTTACAGGGCGGTTGTCAATTATGCAGTACCAATATTATAACTTGTAAAAATTACTGCAGTAAAGTGTAAAAACAGGATTTTATATCATATTTTCACTAAACAAATATATTGTGTTATCATAGTTCTCATTTTAAAGTGTTATTTTGTACAGTTTTATGGTATTTAATTTATTTATAAATGAATCGTAAATATAAATGACAGTCAGTGGGGCCACGAGGCCAAAAATTTACTTGTTAAAACTAAGACCGTTGGTTCCACCATCTAAGTGGAACCACGAGTATTTGAAAATCCTACTGGTCCCACTTGTGGAACCAAACAGTGGGTCCAACAGTCCTAAAGGGACAAAAGCACACAAAATAATCAAATAGCTTACTGCCCTTTTTCTAAACATTGCCTGCGCAAAAGATGGAAAGAGACCCATAATGTCTTTCAAGAAGCTTATATAAACTTCTTGGTCATTATCAATTGTTCGAACCACAAGCGATTGAAATATTTAGAACAAAGAAACTATAGAGTCGCTTTGATTTTAATCTTATTTTTTAAATGATTTTTTTATTAAACGTTAGCAATAACTAACAAAATATTGTTGTACTCGTTTTACGGCTTGGGATTACCTATCAGAAGTCAGAAAATACATTTGCCCGAAATAACATTAGATCGAATTCTCATAATGTCAAATGCATGTTTTTAGGAAGATTACAAAACAAAAGCTAATTTTGGCTTTGTGAAAAGCATCAAAATTACTCGAAAGCGTAACGGTTTTATTATAAATCCCTTTTCGGTATTACGAATATTACGTTTAGTTGGAATATCGGTACATTTCTTATAGTACACGCTTATTTTTACATTTGTAGCAATATTTGTATATATGTATCTGCCCAACTCTTTATTATAATCCTTTAGTGAATTTGTAAAAAAATCGACATTATAATATATATAAAAAATAATTAATATTTACGAGAAAGGCTACTCCATTACTCTTGTGTTCAAGTAATTTTCAGTCGAAGCTAAATATGGTGTTTTTGGGCCCTTAAATTGTTGGAAGCATAATTAGGCAGTACTGCAATGACGTTACAATTTAAAGTAAATGTTTTAGTTTTTTATATTTCGACGTTTGTATAGGTTAACTTCGGACATTTCTTTCGTGGTTTTTGTATTAGACCCGATGTCCATTTATTGGTAGATCAATGTTTAATTTGCACATTTTTGAGAATAATTTTTCTGCTTAAAAACATAACTTATATTGTGTGTGCGTTATTTTTATTATAACTAAAAAAATCCCAACAATTAAATACACATTGCTGTTCTTTTCTCAAAATGAAAACATTGATATTAGAGTATAGTGTGGTTCAGTACGACAACGCTAGTGACCGCGTAAAATATTTGTATAGCAAATTTCTCCATAGGAGACGCCTAGAAGCAATACAATTGGCATGCTAACTTTAACACTGTTTACTGATAGAAACCTATAAAGCGTAGTTTGCAAATCGAATTATGTCCGTAATTTGTCGTGGAATATCTATACATACTAACAAAATAAATAATAAATAAAGAATTTAATTTTACTTTGAAACAAGATTAATAAATTATTGTTACTTGATAAGCACATATTAGTCAAATGTTTTATTATTGTATACAAGGTTAATTATTTTTAAAATTTTGTAAATAAAAGATATTATTGTACTTATACATTTATTGGCGTCTAAATAACACATTATATTACAAAGAACTATATTGCTGCCTTTTCAAAAAAACAATATTTGCTCCTTATGGTAAAAATAATTTCATATTATTTACAACCAAAGAAACCCGGGTTTCAATCCGGCGCTTTGTTAACGCCATTTTTTAAATTGGGTTGGAACCCCATTAACGCCCGAAATCGAGTGCAAAAACTATTTACAAAAAAATTATGATATTATTGCAAAATCTTTACTGCTTTCTGATCTACACAATTCGATTTGCCTTCCTATTGAATTGATTAAAAAAATCGTTACATCGTGTTCTTGAATTGATTTTCATTAAAATCGAATCGTATTGTGTGGAGTTGCCTCTTTTTCGTCCAAAAAAAAGATATTTTTTTACATCGAAATTTGTAATAAGTATGGAATTATACCATATTTCCTAATCGCCGTTTCCGCCCACGATTTTGGGCTAAAATGTATTAAAGCCGGCGCTTTGGGTAAAACCCGGGCGGGTTGATTGAGTTTCAACTTTAACCCACAACCCACCTCTGTTTATAACTAATTTTACATACTGCCCTCCTATTAATAACTGACGTAATCAACATTTTTGCGAAATTAAGTTATGTTGGAATCAGCGCAAGAGACCTGCACAACCCCTTATAATATTTTCTTTTATATCTTATTTAGTTACAGTTTCACTGTAAAACAAAATCAGCGTAGTTGACATTCTTCAAATTAAAAAAAAACATTAGATACTAATAACGCGAAAGTTACCAAAATACAAATACGTTAATTATCACAAGGAGGGCAGCATAGAAAGGATAACATTTTGCTGCCTCCACTGGTGGCAGATGTTGCTAAAGGGTGCCGACTGCCACGCATGATCTAATCGTGTAAATATGGATACCCATCTGAAGTTACGGAAATGTCAAATCCTTCACATTTCCAGAACTCGTCGGACTTCTTAGTGGATTTAAAAAATATATTTATAAGTTTAACACTAGGACGCCTCTACGGGCTGGAATTAATATAAAAACGTGGGATTTAACTAGATGAATAATTAAAATAAAATAGAAAATTAGGGTACAAAACCTACTGCATGAAACTAAAATAGAAAGTATGGGTAAAAAACGGAAAAACTACAACAAATTTGGCAAAAGATTTTTTTTTTAGAAGTTGCCAAACAAAAATAATATTATGTTGTAAACTCGCAACAGAATTTATTCATATTTGATATACAACTTAAATTTAAATTATGTCAAAGGAAGATATTTATACGCCGGCTTAGCATGAGCACAAACACAAAAGGTTGTGTTTCGAAAGCTGTCAATTCGCCGACGTCACGCGAGTCTTACCAATGCACAATGTTATAGTAACGAGTTCGATGATCTTAGCGACCCAGCTGTTAGCATTATGGGCACTAGATGAAAAGGTCCTGGGTTCCAATCCCGATAGGAACAATTTGGAAACGAGCTTTTCTATATACACACACAATTTTGTTGCTTTGACACTCATAGCACAGTAGATTCCGTGGTGAGATAAAATTATTTTGTGTTGTGGTTACGTGGCACATTATTATTATTATAATTCTAGACATAATAAAAGATTACAATTTTTTTTTATTGCAAAAATGTGCAAAAGATTGCAAGTTTTACCTATTTGCTTGCACTTATGCTAAGCCCGCAGTAGTGGATTAACTTTCGAAGATTTCTGGCCAAGTGTATCCATTAAAAGTTATTCCGTTATTCTTCTGTCTAATTTGGCATTACAAATTGCTTTAATAAGGTGTACACACGATCAACTAAATCTACAGGACTCGTTTCTGTAAACATTTTTTCGTTTTAATCATCACATAAGGTCATTTCAAACACTCCAGTCATCTTCTTTTTCTTATGTTCATTAAAATTTATCAAAATGTGTAAAAAGAGAACTAGCGATATTAATAAATCATATTTATTCAGGATTACATCTGTTCATATGGTCTAAATCCTCTTTGTCGAGGAGTCGTGTGCTCAGAAATGGTACGTACAATGAGTTGATAATAATGATATCTGTTCATTTTTATTTTTGATATAATTTATCACAATAATCTTCAGCTATTTTTGTGTTTGATCGTGTGTTACCCTCTCTAATAATCGACGAGTTTCACTCTATTCTTAGGAGCACTATCTGACCTGTCTTTATCGTCTTGAGAATCTTGCGGACTTTGCCACGAAGGTCCTTCAGAGTAATTCCCTGCTCTGTGGCCATAGCCTCTATGCCCTCCTCTATGGCCATACGGTCTCCTTTGCCCTGGTGGATAGCGTTTCTCTTCCCATCTAATATCTGGTCTATTCTCATATCCTTGAGTATAGTCACGATAACCGTAATTTCTGTTTCCTTCGAAATTCCTATTGCCTTCGTGGTTTCTGTGTTTTTCGAAACGAGTGGAGTAATGTGGTCTATCGTCTTCTGGTTTCATGTTATCGTATTCAGTATCTTGATATCTCCGCCTTTCTTGATAATGTGAAGTTTCGCCAATTTCTCTACGGTTGGGCGATATTCGAGTTTCCCATACTGGAATGCGTTTCTTTTGATCGTCTTGAGTGGGGCTTTTTGATCTGCTTCGGCTGCTTCGTTTCTTATCTGGTGCAGGCGATGCTCTAAAATAGAAGTTTGTTATAAAATAAAAGTACAATCTCAGAAATATAGAGAGCAGACACGTAACGTGTACTGCGAATAATAGATCATCGCACGTCAGGAAACTAATCGGACCAAGTACTCCCGTTCATATGAGATAGGTTTGTAGTTAATACCAGCGTGCAGTATTGGTATGGCAATTGTGTTGCGTTGTCCGTTGTTGTGTTTACATGCAGGCGTTTGTATTGCATGATGCGCAAATTTTAATGTTTTAGTTTATGGAACCAATATATAGGAAGCAATATCGATGAAGAATGACTAACTACCTACTTACGTATCAGAAGGCAGGGAGGGAAATACATACCTCGACGAAGAGCCACTATGACTTCCGTCAGATTCATCATCACTGGACCTTCGGTTTTGCTGGTGCCGCATTTCACGTTGCCTGCAATGAAACACAAGTTTATATACCATACACAAATTCAATGGTGTACGTATAAGCTTTCACATGGTTTGGCAGACTGGTGCACGCGACAAAGGAGTTGTTTTCCTTCGCCTCGCTTTTCAAGCGTTTCATTGGTCAAAATCGTGACTGTCGTCCTCATAACTTTCCCCTTCCTATGACCCACTTTAATGTTGAATGATATTAAAGTTTCTTCTTTAGTGCACGACATCATTCATAAACGCCACCTCTGCCGCTGTTAGTTGAAAGGGCGCATGTGACAAAAACTCAAAACCGAGAAAATAATGTTTAAACAAATGAAATTGAAAAATCTACTTTTTTTCAGTAATTTTATAACTAGGAAAAATTAAAATAGTGAAAGATCGGTGTTTTTAATGATCACAGCAGTATACATACCAATTTTTTTAAATGTAAAATCCGCTTTTTTAACCAACGGCGGCAGACCTATATGATTGGCCAACATTTTCTCCCATGTCACAAAAACTACATCTAAGATAATAACTGTCAAGGTAAGGATAACAGCCAAGGCACTTGGCTAAGACAATAAGCTCGGTACAGACTTGCGTCGCAGTTTGATCGCGAGTTCCCTCATTTCCTCGTCGCGACGCGCCTGTCGTCTGCTCTCGCGTTCTAACCGCTCTGCTTCAGCCCGTTTGTCTGCACGCACTGGAAATCATACGAAATTATCAATGGGGGAGGCAAAATCGTGAGGATACATAAAACTCTAAATTTACTACTAGAAATACTTTATTTTACAGAAGCAATAGACAGACGAACCTACCCTTGGGGGTAGGTTGCGTTAGATCAGCGTGTGTATATAACAGAATGATATTATTTCCTAGAATACAACCTTGTCTACGAGATGTGTATGATATCATACACAGAAGGTAAACTACGATCAATTTAACTAATATCTTGTTAAGAGAACTAAAAATCGTTCAATGCCTCCATACATTACAAACATCTTCCAAATTCTGCATAGTTCTAATACAGGCCTACTGCTTAACTGAGTCGGTTCCTGAGGTAGCTGCGCGGTGACAGGCTAATTTCAACAAGATTTTTCTGACGATATTCAATAACAAATTGCTTGAAAAATAATTTGTCTGCACGCAAACAGTGATAATAGTTTTATTACCTTAATATAACAGAAAGAATAAGCCGTTACAAGCGATAACATTATTCATTGGTGCAAATAATATTCAACTATATTATATCAATATACAAAAAAACGAGAAGAAACCATGCGGAAGTTGTTGCATACTTGATATATGGATCTATATTTGTTTCAGAACTGTTGCTAGAAGCATTATGAGCAAAATTACTAAAACTCACGTTGCCTTGCTAACTGCGCCTGCATTTTTCGCTTTAGCTTCTCCTTTAACGACATCGTCTCTCTCGAGGGGCGACTCTGCAAATAAATACCCTGTTTACATCCTAGTATGGTTGCTAGTGTCATCTTTTTACTAAGAATGACTCTACATTTATTTAAATTCTAGAAATTGGCACTAACGTACGCTACTAGAGCTTAATGATGTTGTCTGACAGTCCGATTATTCCCACTTGCACTAAACGTAAGAACTAATTAAATTGACAACACACTCTTACCAACTGAACTGCCCCCGTAGCCGAGCGGTTACCATGATGGACTGCCTTCCAGAGGTCCTGGGTTCGACTCTCTGGCCGAGAGAACTATGAGTATGGCCTACATTTATTTCTCTCGCGAGTTAGGGTGTAATTTGTGGTTGTCTAAGTGTGTGTGCATGACACCCGCGATACAGGGTTTCCCTAGTGCGGGGTTATGAATGTGTGAAAATAAAAACAATGTATTAAAAATGTCTTTCGCATTACAGGCATTGGTTTAAGACACACTTAAGTTTAGCGGAAATGGGCATTAGTCTGTTTGACTTAAAGTATGGTTGATATATCACGTTTAATTTAGAGTTAGACAAATTGAAAACAAAAAATTGTTATTCAAGGGAATAAGAACGCAGTATAAGGCTCAATATACATTGCTGCGGAAAGGAATGGAAGGTAATTTTTGTAACGAAATTGTACATAGTATGATCACAGATAATATAATACTATACTAGACAGATACCGAAAATCATACAGAGAAATGTAGCACTCGTAACTCCGCTTACACGGACGCTTATTTTGATTCCTGACGCTGATCAATATATAGATTGTACCATGTGAACCCGCAATGCGTTATAATAATATTCGAAGAGGCCTACAGATGGCAGTTCATACATTTTTGTCTAGGTTATTGCTCTTGTTCAGGCGTTGATTTCTTGTACAATAAAATATGATAAATTCGCAAAAAAGCTGAGTTTGTACTTTTAATACTTTAAAGTAAAAGTCAACGCTAAAACGTTACTCAGTTTCGAGAATAAATTCAAAGGAATGCCATCAATACAGATTATTGCAAACTAACAAATCAAAAAGTATACCATTGAGAAACCTTCAATTTGGTATCTTTTCATTGACAGTTTTCTGATTTCACCAATTATCATGATTGTGAATGAATTTTAATTGAACTTTCTTAAAATGTTGTTTAAATAGTTTTCCATTTTTTTATTTTATGCTTCTTTGATTTTGAGATTCATTTTTATTTCATCCAAGTGTCTCCATCTACATTCGTATGAATTGATACGCCATGGTACAATAATAATAATAATAATAACACACACACTCAACATAATAAGCAATATGTTATTATTGTGTAACGCACTAACTAGATACGATACAGTAGCTGCAGAAATTCTTGAGAAGACGCGCGTCCTGTTGTTTAGTTCGTATCTACATTGACCCATCACTCAAGAGGAATGCTAATCGCAATACCAGACAGTGTATTCGGGTATTTAATACCTATTGGTACGACACCAGATGTCGCGACGAGTATACCAAATAGCTTTTTTTGTAAATAATTTGTTTTACATTGATAAGCTGCAAGTTAGTGAAACTATTTTATATATAATTAATATATATTTAATAAATAATTTTAATTTTTTGATTTAATATGTTATTTTAGCAACATCAATTCAATATTAGTACGGTCCATAAGGGACCTTTAAATCTGGATAGTAGATCGTCATCTAAATCCCAAATATGGAAAGACCGTGACGTTCAGGGCTAAGTAAACCTTACGCACTCCTCATAGAAAAATGGAATAAGTGGAGTTATAGGAAATGAAACTATTTTTCCGGATTTAAATCGCGTATATTTGTTTTTACAAAGAAACCAACGTTTCGGGCCCTTTACAGGTCCCATGGTCACGGTTGAATGAGGTGGTATAATCATCAACCAGTTAGTGTAATATTAATGCAAACCTCCCTATTTTTTTTACTATAGTTATAAAAGTTATTAATTAAATACTTTATTTTTAATTTTACAAATTCCAATTTACGCTACATTGGTTTACAAATGATTTTATTGTAACAATATGAATTTTTATTAAGATAAATTTATTATTAATTAATAATGTAAATTAGAATAAATTAAAACATACTAATTAGTACTGCAGTCTTATGTCTGTTTGGGATTTTTCATCAGAGAAAACACTGGATCCCAAACTGGTGGTACCACTGGAGAAACCACCTTCCCTGTTGAAATTAGGTTGTTAACGGACTGGGTAGATAACGGACTTCTTTTGCAAGGACCTGGGGTTTGTCAAACTTCATTGAACGTGTAGGTTTATCCATGACATGCTCACACACTGTAGACTTCCTTACGCGACGGTGTTTGACATCAGCTATATATCTTCTCTAAGGGTCCGAAACGTTGGTTTGTTTGAAAAAATAAATATACGCAATTTAAATCCGGAAAAATAGAGTCATTTCCTATGTTTAACCTAACCTATTCTAAGAACTCGATAAGCTGCAATTTATCAAAGCTACTCAAATTTTTTGTCATAACTAACAAAACAAGTAGATGGCACAGATTTTTATGGATAGTGCTGGCTATTCTTTTATTTTTTTTTTTAGGATTAACGCCATCTACCCATATTAGGAAGCGTTACTTTAGAAATTAATTGTGTGTATTACATACACGATGCAATCTGTTGACACGCATTTGTCAAAGCTCAGAAAATAATTCTGACCCCTCCTACGTAAAGTATCGTATGTCGAAATTGCCAAGTTTACAAGGGAGCGTTTTGAAGGTTTGAATTCTCTGAAATGAGCATAACACGTGACTTTAGCATTTCTCAGTTTTATTCGGCATAGCTCGTTACTCACATAGAGCATTATAAAATCCTAGATATCGGATAGATGAACAACCACAATTTATTTTATGGTTTTTTTTAATTTTATAACTTTAGTTTACCCGCTTGTTGACCCACATCAGAGTCACGATGTGTAATATGGAGTTTAGCAGTCCTCTCGAGTTATTAATCCATGGTATCTAGTATTTACGTTACACAATTGAAGTACATTACGCTATGGTTACAAAAATTCGCTTCCGTTCCCTGCTTTGTGTAATTCGACGATAAAAAAAATTACATAGAGAAATGTTCATGTACACGCTAGTTTCAAATACACTGCTTCATGTCCTCCAGTGACGTCATAGCATGGACAAACTTAGAAACACATATTATTATAAAATGATATATTTTACATTTTTAAATTAAAATGGATGTTTTATCGTGTCACGAGTTCATCGCTTTATGTGGTGAAAGAACAGAAATATGTTTTTTAAATAAGGTGAGTTTCAGCAATACAGATTTTCAAAAGGATGTAGAAAAGCGGCTCTTCAAAATATACGATCATTTGTCATAATGTCCCGTTGTTAATTATTCCCGTAACTCTTTGAAATTATCACAAAAGTGATAGTTGTAGTAAGTGTAAAAAAAATTGAAGATTTTTCAGTATTCGCACCGGCTCTTGGTGATTTTGTCATACTCAATTACCTATACATACTCTGTAATTGATTACAGTTTGTGATTAACAGCTGTATAACAAATGTTCAAGCGTAACTGAATAGAACGATTGTTTTGCAAATTGGCGATTGCGGTATTACGATAAGGTGCTAAAATGAAAGCGTACCAATAAAAACAAATGATTCTTACTGACTTTGGAGCTGGATCCAGACAATCGTAACTGATTCTGGTTTGAATTGGAATTATTGCCAACCGTCGCTCTGGAATTTGGAGAAATATCTGCGTTAATTTAAGCTAGTATTTGTTTTTCAATTCTCATAATCAATAATCACTTTTACAAGGAAACAAGCAAATTGATTGAAGATTTTATTAGGCACAGATACAAGTTTTGTTTCTAGAATCGTATATGAAGTTAAACACTATTGATTATATGTTATAAACGTTATCGTCGGCAATATTTGAAAAGTTCGTTATACGTTTTTGTACGACATCCCTTTTTTACTCTTCAAGCGCAATATCGGGCAATTAAAGCTTGAAATATATTGTAGACCTTCATATAATCATAGATTGTCATATAAATTTTTCCATTAATTCTGTTTTTGTGCCTGCTCAAACGTTCACATTAATGGAGGTTTCGAGATTTACAAATTTTAATATATTTTTACAAATTATAATAACAAATAAGTCTGTGTTAAGTGACGTCATTGCGTATGAGTTTTCAAACAATAGAATATTTTAGAATGCTTGCTGGGACAAATTTAGTGCTATTAAAAATGTAGTAGCGCGAGAGCATCTTAAACTGGTAAGAATTTGTATCATAGATCACTTGTCTCAAGAAAACAGCCAACGACATGACTTCAATATCTTTGCCTTTCAGATTTCAGATTTCAGAATCAGAGAAACAAGTGGTTATGACAAGTACCTATTGCTTTTAAAAACGTGAATAAACTAAAATAGTAAGGGAACTAACTTGTTTTTAGGGTCCTCGGCGGAGTCACTGGAGTCGGAATCCAAGGAGAGTTCGCTGGAGGATTTGTCATCTTTCTTTCGTCCGTAGTATCGCGGCACGGCAGGCTTGCTCATTGCTTTGTCTTCCCTACACAACCAAATGTTTGTAACCAGAATTAGTACCATCACTCGTCATCAGTGTGACACTATAGTAAAGGCTGATGGAGCGCAATTTCAACGAATTGTTTTTTTACTACTGTCAGCATTACAGGTATATTACGTTTTCGCAATAATTTCGGGGTTCAAAATATTTTTGTTCAGTATCAGGTGTTGTACAGACACAGAGTACTACGGGAGATCTAGAATTAAAATTGCTTTTAGTAACTTTCACATAATCGGAATAAATGTCTTGCATTCTGAATTCTGGCACGAGGGAATTAAATTACCGAACTGAAGTGACATTACTATATTTAATTATTAAAAGTAATAACAATACCAGAGTACTTGTTCTGTACAACTACGTATTAATTAAAAACAAAATTTTTAACCTTTAATCAAATAAAGGTACTTGATTTACCACCTCAATTTGTTAGTAATCAATTATCTATGTCGCTACATACACACATCAAAAAAAGTTTGCGATCACTTCGAAAAACTGAAATCTTTTTTGTTACTGTAGATTATATTATGATTTTTTCTTCTTTTTAGATTCTTTATTTAAAAATAAATTAGAACATAAAACAATGACCCCGTTCAATTGTTTTTTCATATAAAAAGGCTTTCAGTCCTAGCTTACGCTCATTCAGAAATCTGATTTAGTCAATTATAAGCGATTCAAGATATTTTTCGCGGAAAGTTGTGATTGAAAAAATGCCAAGAGGATTATCAGAGGTTTTACGAGCTAGAATAGTAACTTTGAGGGAAGAAGGATACACCACGAGAGTAATAGCACGCAGACTTGCTATATCCCAATCCTGTGTCGTGGCTACGTTGCAGAGGTATCACGGAATGGGGAATTTAGCTGACCGACCCCGCAGCGGTCGCCCAACTGTTTTGACAGCTGCCCAAAAGCGCTATATTAGATTGCTGGCAGCCCGTGATCCAACAATCAACGCCACTAAAATAAAAGCAGAAGTCAGGGCCGCCTCTGGGCTTGAAGTTAGCACGCAGACCGTTCGCAATTGCTTGCACCAGGCTGGATTACGAGCACGGAGGTCTTGGCGAGCTCCGCTCAATTCCCGGCAACGTCAACAACGAAGATTGCAGTGGGCTAGACTTCGGCAAAATGAAGAAGGTGAGGACGAAAACATTTGGCAAAACTGTCTCTTCGTTGACGAATCCCGAATCAGCACTCATCCAGATAACCGACGTGTCCGTATCTGGAGAAGACCAGGCGACCGTGAAAGACAAAGAACTGCCACTGGAACAGTTCAGCAAGGCGGAAAATCGGTGTCCTTTTGGGGTGGCATTATGATTGGAGTTAGAACGCCTTTGATCCCGTATCGGGGCTTCATGACAGCAGACATGTACAAAGCAGTTGCTATTGATGATATCGTCAGACCATTCCGAGTAAACCATGGGCACCAATTTGTACTGGTCGATGATAATGCGCCCGCACATCGAGCTCAACGAGTCAATGCTTCTCTTCAAGAATACGATATCACACGATTAGACTGGCCTGCCGGCTCGCCCGACTTAAACCCAATAGAGCACGCGTGGGATGCTCTTAAACGAGCAGTATGGAACCGTGAGCCACGTCCCCAGACAGTTCCAGAGCTCAGGGAAGCCGCTATTGAAGAATGGGATAGGTTACCCCAGGAAATGCTGGATAACTTGATCCTCAGCATGCCCAGGAGGATCTTCGCATGTATTCGAGCCAGGGGAGGAGTTTTTTTATATTGAATTCACACCTTTTAATAATAAATTGTTGTTTAAGTTTAATTAAACAGTCTTTTTCTTTCTATGAAATTTCTATCACTGTTACATTATGATTAATGGCTCAATTTTTTAAAATAAATAATAAAAAATAGTTTTATATTTTAATTTCAAACAGGGTATTCCTATTTAAAGAAAGCATACAACATAGATTTTTTCTTGATAAAGTTAAATTTAAAGAATTATAGGAGCTTATGCTATTGATCGCAAACTTTTTTTGATGTGTGTACATTCTAAGTTCATTTACCACCAAAAGAGAACATGATGTGCCCTCTTAACAAAGTAGCAATCTACGACCCTCAATTATCAGGGAATATCACAGGAATATTTTATAGATAGGGCATTGAAGTTCGCGTTTGTTTAGGGGTTACACAATAAAATTTAAAAAAATTAAAAAATTCATATATTTTTAAATTTTTATTGAATTGATATTCAATTATTTTTTATGTGAAATTACTCCACTAGTTTGTTATAATTATTAAACATAAAGATCGAACACTCAGAAAAAATCCTTCGATCAGACCGGATTCGAACCGACGTTTTCTAGCATACCATGCCAGAAGCTATACCAACTAAGCAACGGAACGAACCAACGGACCTCACGATTTTTTCTATGTTTTTTGTCGTATCTTTGTATTTGGTTTTATTTTATGAGAAATTTTAGTTCTGTGGGTCTGGCACGGTATCCTAGAAGGCGTCGGTTTGAAAGATTTTTTTGGAGTATTCGATCTCAGTTAACAGTCAAGTAAACATGCCAAATTGAGAATAAATACGATTTTTTTCTTTTTGTAAATTGAGACTACGACTTAGATGTTTTGCTGTATAGGCTTTATAAAGACGGACGTCCAAAAGCTTTACCTTACCTTCGTCTTCCTATAAAGGTGTTAACATTGTGTAATAAAAAAAATGAATAGAAAAGTTTACCTTTCATACGACGATCTGTTGTCATTATGTTTTGCATAGCCATGACTGTGGAAAATAAATATGTATTATTTAATACAAGTATAAACAATTTACGAAAAGAAAGAATAAGATGGTATTGACTTGGTAAGAAAACTTCCTTTGTCCACCAACTTATTCGTGGTATGTCCGTGGTGTAAGTCTTTAGTTTATTTTAATACTATGTTTTAAATTGGCAATTCACGTTTTTGTCACTGGAAAACAGGGAAATTTATTTTACAGGGATAACAGGTAATACAAATGGTGGGATGGATAATGGTAAAATTTTGGAAAAAGGGATTAAGCAAGTGTATGTGAACGTAAACTTGACAATTTTCAAAGTACTTGCGTTATTTCCTTTTTTTCATATCACAGATAACTTGGTGTCACTAATACCATGCGCGACATTAAAAATATCTAAAAACTCGTCTGGTTCGATAGAAGTATATGTATAAGTATTAACACCACAAAGTATGATATTGCCCTTCTATAATACTTCTGGCCACATAGATACGAAACAAAGTTTTTTGTATGTAAAATTCAAATTAGAAACGTTTTTCAAATGAATCTTTACGCTTCTAAACTTCAAATTTTGGCGTTGTTCATATTCGTTTAGAATATTATTTTATTATCGTTACTAATATTATTTTCTATTCTATAGCAAAGGAATAAGTGAGACTCCCAAATGATGCCAGTAGTGTATGTATGGACATTTCGTAGATTTTTCAGGGCAGCATGTTTTAGGTTCTAAGGACAGTTTTAAAATTTTGACGTCGTTTTAATTCAATTTCAAAACTTAAATTTAATTAAAATCTTAATTCGCCTCACCTCGCCTCGCATCGCCTACCCACTTTGTACAAAACACCAACGATATTTTGATAACATTCAATTTTTAATATATTCGTGATCCGATTCTCCTATACATAACGGCCATTTCATACTTTAATTCTTATATTATACCCATATTTCTAAATTCGCAGCTAAGCCAGCTTGTCAAGCACAAAGGTTCAATTGTTTCGGGAAAATATATTGTTTGACAATGATACCTCTATAAGGTTTGTTGATATTAAACAAAATACAAACTTAGTAGGGCTGCGTGATCGTCTGTTCCTGTAGTTACGCGTTTTGGATCTCGATCTCGATCTCGAATAGCGGCTAAATGAGCGTGACCTTGATCTCGAGGTCACAGATCTTGACCGAGATCGCGAGTAAGATCCTGATTTGGACCGCGACCTCCACGACTGTTGAGATCTCGAGCGGGACCGCGACGGAGTCCGTGACCGAGAATATGAGCGAGACCGAGACTTTGATTTCGATTCAAGTCGACGTGGTCCTATTTCGCGTCGTACTTCTGGAGATTTTGACCTGTGAATTAAAAAAATATCATATTATAACCTTTTCTGCTAATTTCATAGCACTTATAACTCATATAACACATGTAACTTGAATTTGTGAAAATTTGTGAATTTTATATTTGCTTTTGGTGGATGAATGTGTGCTCTGATTTGACAGTTTCTGTAGTTGTAGACCTCCTTATGAAAGAGTTTGCCCAGGGTAGCACTGCCACCTTACCTACTTCTGCCGCCAAGCTGTAATGTCAGCATTACCGGTTTTGAAGGGTCAGGGAGCTGGTGAAATTACAGGCACATGGGACTTGTCGACTTATGTCTCGGGGTGCCGGGCGTAGTGGCAGTGCCCTTTAGATCTTTGCGATTTAAAGCTCTGAGTGGCACTGCAACTGTTATGGACAGGCGTGTAGCTTACCTTACCATAAGGCGCACAACTAGTTCGTCCCGTTCCTTGATATTTACACAAAGTTGGTTTGTGTTTGAGTTTTCTCTATTGCTACCTATTGGAAATGAAACTGTTTTTTTGGGTATAAATTGAATAAATCTGTTTTTTTTTTCAAACAAACAGTCGGTCGTGACCTTGGGACATGTAAACAGCCTAAAACAGTGGCTAGTTTAATTTCCATTGTGTTACTTGATTGTCATAATTTATGAATTATAAATAACGCACACACTCATGGGTTTGAATATTCGTTATTAAAATGGAAGTTTGAAAGATCTTACCGAGCTCTTGGGTGTTTCCGCGCAACATCTGCATACAACTGTTTTTTTTTCAAGTTCTGTTTCAATTTGTCTGCATACAGAGGTTTTTGGGATGGAGCTGTAGACAAATCAATTTCATAGTTCATTTAATTCAATCATTTATAATTGTTGAACTGGAAACATAATTACAATTAACCTAGTAGCGGTTGTGAATTCAATAATTTGTATGGGCGAGGAGATTATTGTTTCACCAGTGAATAAAACCGCAATGTTTGAAAGGCTCACAAAAATCTTTGCATGTGTATGACGTTACCCAATCGATTAAAGGCTATTAACTACTAGTGAAAATTTGTTAATACAATAAGGAGATCATTTTTATAGAAATCGTGTTTCCATTGCAGAGTTAATAAACCCTTTTTGCAGGCAGCAATAAGGTTCAATATTACATAAATAAATATTTCAATTCTCATCTCGCACATCCTTGTCAATACAGACTATTTCCGCTGAAGATTACGAACTAAAAGAGAATTGAAATTTTGCCATACAAATTGCAATCCTCGTTTTGCTGGTGTAAATGCACCATTAGGTTAGTGTAGAGAAATAAATTCCAAACAACCAATATGCTTTATTTTGACATTCTCAGCTTAGTGGACGTAATAAAATCCTATCGGTTGTTTCAAATTTAATGTCTCCACTTTGTACAACGCGCCTTAGACAAAAGCAGTGAAACAAAAGCTAGGCCTTGTGCAGCGAAAGCGCCCAGTTACACGACGCGAAAGATTTAGTGCGGTCGCCGCGCGGTGACCGCCTCGTTACCTCGCTTTCACGTACATTACTGGCGAAGCTGAATTCTATGCACTAAACTCTGAGATGTAGTTGAAGTAAAAAAATGTAAACAAACAACTGTCATTGTCAAAGCGACGTCTTATAGACCATAAACCGTTTTTTCCACGTTCGTTTATTAACAGGTTCTACTGTATTCTGACTAATAACTGTTTAGAAACATTTTGTGTCATAAATATAGTGGTGTTGTTTTCTGTGACGAAAGTGTGTCTATTTTTGTTGAAGGACCTGGTTCAGCCTCCATTGTAGTTATGTTCACACGAACGCAAGCAAACACAAATGTAACAACAGAGTAAAACCAAAATTTAACAAAAAAAATAAAATAAACGAAAACTCAACCAAAAAAAAACAAAAAGTCAACAACACGACGCATACACAGCAAGGAACACATTCGATAACGACAGCCGTCAGAAACCGAATGAAGAAAATCGCGGTGATGTACTGGTGGGGATGCAACCCGAAGACTTGACCCATTATCCATCCCTATCGACCAAAAACTGACTTTTCATTTTTCGTTCATTATAATTAACACTATTTTACAATTATCCAATTTATTATTTGAATTTTATTATTCTCAATAAAAGAACATTTCATTTAATAAATTATTAAAGTAATATTATTGTAGGAATTAATAATTCACACTTCTACTTATAAGTATTTGTGTTTATACGTAACAAATTAAAATAAAAAATCGAATAAACACTAAGGACAGCCAAAGTCGTTTCATCTCCGAAACATTGCCAATAGGATAAAAATCTTTCCACGAGAAACAGTTTTTTGAGATTATCTTATCAAATATGGTGTTTTAAATAAAAAATATGATTTGATAATATTTTGTTTGTGCACACGCACACCATTTACAAACAATATAAAACATCTAGCATTAATTTTTAGCCCTTTTCACTGTTTCACCATTCGTGGAACATTTTTTGTAATGGCATCACCTTTGTTTACATTTTTGATTTCGTCTCAGAGTTTAGGCAACAACATTCAAATTCCTCTGAACAGTATAACCGCGCGGTCGCCGCTTAGACCAAAGACAAGCCAGACTCGTTCGTTCGTAAGTTACATTTGTAATAATGTTTTGGATGGGTATGTTGAAACGTTTTTGAAACACCTGTTGGATAACATTGAATAATATAGTGGTAAAACTACACTGAAAAAAGAATATCCTCGTCACATGTTCTGTTTCTTATCATATCAAGCATAATGGGGTTACATCACTTTTGTGCTGATAACCTCAACTATTATTGCAGCAACGATTCTGCGTAAAGACTTTAATCATGTTGAGATTTATTCTATGTTAATCATATAGTATCTTGATTGATAGGCTAATTTACATCAAAATCAATGTTTTTCATTGAAAGTTGGCAACACTAAGGTGACAGCGGTTATCTGTGCTATTCGTCTGCTGCACAAGGCTTTAGCAACTAAAGTGTTAAGCGCGTTTTTAAATCATATATAAACTCACGTGGTTTGACCTCATCCTCGTCGCCGCCGAAGGAGGTGATAAACTGGATGTTGCCTCCGTTGTCGGGCGACGGACTGCGCGACGGCGAGTGAGAAGGCGACCGCGCCGGCGCAGCGGATGGCGCTGCGTAACTCGGCGGGCTTACCACGCGGGATGCCAACTTTTTGTCGCTGAACAAATAACATTTATTTTTAAAAATACATAGCTAGTCCAGGGGCGTGAAAGTGTTAAGTTGTTGAATAACATTTGTAGAACAACCAGGTTTAGAACATCCTTTTTAAAATGAAATTATTTACCCCAGATTTACGCGTATATTTGTTATTTTGTGATTATGATTAATAAGTGTCCTTTTGTACCCAAATTTATATAATTTTACTAAATGATGAATTAGAAGAAAACTGTTTAAAAAATTGCGCTTATGGGGCCATTATATTATATTACCCGACTTTTGGGTATTTTGAAAAAGAGACACAGACTAAATAAATTTGCCATCATAGCAAACAATTTATTGAGGATACTATTTACCAATTAGCAGCTACCAACGGGGACAACAGAAATTGAAGAACACACTCTTCACTAATTGAAACCGCGAACGGAAAATGGCGCGTATATTTCAAAACTTCTTTGACGACTGTTAATATTGTCATATTGACATCTAGACTGTTAGGTCGTTCCGTTTCACGTAGTTATCTATGTATTTGATTATTGTGCGACTGAGACCTTCAGAGCAATTTATGAATTCATAATGAATACTGTTGAAGATACTTAATTGTAAAGAACAGAAGACGATTTTAATGGACCTGACTATACCTAGTGATTCAAGACAAAAGTCATACTTAAAAGACTTTGCTGCATGCATGTATATGTACTTGATGACGGTACTTCAAAAAAGGTGGATATTGTAG